ACCAGCATAACTTACAACCTTTCTGCCCCCTTTTCTTCTGCCCACCTCAGTGTGCCAAAGCTTCTCAGCAATCCTGAGAAACTTCCCAGCCCTGTTCCAATGTCACCCAGTGGATTTCCTCAACAGCAGAGCACATCATTTGCAGGAAGCAGAGAACCCTTCAGAATACAGGGTGGAAGTGAAGGGCTTATCCAACCAGGGGTCTTTTTCTCTTGAGAGGGGTCCTTAAGAACAGGGACTTCTGCCTGCCTGTGGACTGTCTCAGCAGCTATCAAATGCCAGTGGCTCTTCAGCTAATGATAAGACTGACATGCCTACATCTTGCCCTCTGTGCTGGAATGTTTTTATTTCTGGAGCATGTGCAAGACTTGTGCATGCTGTCATGATGGCTGTGGGTGCAACTGCCCTGTTATTGCTGGGAAACACTGTTTCCTTGATGCTATAGGCCACCTTCAGCTCTTACAACCTTTCTGCCCTCTCTTCTGTGAAGAGCCCAGAGCACTGGCAGGGAAGGATGCGATATATGTGCCCTCATTCATAGTTAAGCATACCACAGTCATTTATTCTCTGTACACTGATTGGTTCATGGATGGGGGTCTACAGGTTGATTGCCACCTACTGCAAGAAATTTCACTGACGGAGGTTGAGAGATGCTCTGATCTTTGTAAATCATTAGGAGTCATGTCATGCTATGCTGATTTAGCAGAGTAATAGTATTGGGTTCTCCCCAGGACCTAGGACCTATCTAGCCTTAAGCCTCTTTAACAGTGCTGTGTAGGTTACACTCATGAAGTAGACCTTAGATCCAATGGGAAAGTGGTTGGTTATTCCCATAACATTCGTGCCACTATTGTACCAGTGAGTAGGTCTTGTCAGGTCAGTCACTGTTGTGGCTTGCAGGTTTCACTGCTGGGTGAGATTGAGGATTAATTTCCTCCTCCAGCATCAGGCATAGGACCAGGACCATTCAGAACCATGGATGACATCCAGTAGGGATTAAGCTTTCTGGAGAGCACCAGCTTGGCTTCTCCATGTTCTGTCACTCAAGTATATGATGTTCTGTCACTCAAGTATGTGATGTCTTCACCAACAAGGTCTTACCATGAAGTTCAGAAGGGTAGTCAAGAGTATTGACATAGCCAGCAATGTTTGGGCATGGGGGGGTCTATATGACCCCACTGACAAACAACTCAAAAAGCAGTAACCAATTCCTGGTGGAAACCCTATCATCTTAAACTGTGACCCTGTATGAAGTCACATAGCTAAATGCAAGTACCATGAAAATGTTGTCAACTAAAACATTTCTGAATGTGCAATAATCAAACATTAATTCAAAACCAAGCAGGTGATGAATCTGAGGTGCTTCTGGGAGAGTTCACTAGCACTGTGATACTTCATATTGACCTTAGTTCTGAACACCCAACATGTACTTTGTGCTACATAAACCATCATATCTCAAAATTAATGTTGCCTGCAATGCTTTGGCTCAGAGTCAAGAGTGTTATATGTTGTCAGTTGCGGTTTTTATTGTGATTACTAAAAATTTTCCCACACAATAGCTCAAATTACAGAAAATGACAATTTGTAACATTTCCCTACCATCTTCCTTAGTACCCACCAAATAAGTGTATCCTTGAGTTGTATTGTGGTAGAAATTTTTAAACTGCTGCTTGATTGGCTGACATGACATTCTAAAAAGAAAAATTGAATGAAGTTTGACTTGGGGTTACAAATGACCTCCTGCCAACAGTTTCTATAATAACCTTAAGCACACTCCTATTACTTTGTAATATGAATTTATGAATGATGCTCTCAGAATTGACAATTATAAAATAGAAAATCATCAACGATGAAAAACACAGACGATGTTTTGGTACATCATCCTGCACTGCTCACTGTCCAGGGGAGATTTGAGTGTTTATGGAAGATAAGCATGTCCACCTTGTTAGCACACAAATTTGCCTTTCTCTTTAATGAACGGTGGTGTGACTTGGCTGTGAAACATCCCCATGGGCTCACGTGTCTCAACACTTGGTCCCCAGCTGCTGGTGGTGGTTGGGAATGTTGTAGAACCTTTGGGAGAGGGGCATTGTTAGAGGAAGTATGTATGTCACCGTGTCTTTTATAGCTGGCCCCAATTCCTATTTACTCTCGGCTTCCCAGTGCTCTGCTGCCTTGCCTTCAATGCCCTGATGACTGTATCCCCTAGAACTGTGAGCCAAAAGAAATCCTTCCCCCTTAAACGGCTGTTATCAGGTATTTTATTACAGAAATAGAAAACTAGGACACTTGGTAAATCTTTATACATATATTTCACAAACATGTACACACATAAATATATAGGCACACACATACACATATGAATTGTGTTATGATAAAGTCCTATGGTATATTACCAGTAAATATTTAATTTGGAGCTTCATAGGAATTTCTCAATGAAAGATTTCAAGAAGGAAAAGCCCAAGAGTCCCTGTTCTAAGCGCTAATCAGCAATGATCTTTTCTTCAGTTTACAGTGAAATGACAGTAGGAACAACCTTTTACCACTTCAAGACGGATGAATTTTCATTTCTTTACATATTTATCAGCTGTACATATTCAGAGAATATACCTGATCCCCCCTCAATCTGCCCCCAGCACTCCCCAAAGTTCACCCATCTTTCCTGGGCCTGCCATCCTTTGCATTGCTTCTACAGAGTTCCTGCTTTGCCTCCTAGATGGAATCTGGCCACATACATGCAGGCAGAGCAAGAGTAAACTAACAGAAATGCTGTCTGCTTGACCTGAATGAACAGAAGACTGTCTGCATACAAAAGAAAAATTCAGAATCTGGGCAACTTTTAAAACATGAGCACAATTTGGAGCTCAATTTTAAGAATGATGACTTTGGAAGAATAATTATATGTATTCTGGTGAAATACATATAAAATGAATTTGATGGGATGGATAGAGCTAACCCTGAGAGATACACATACACATACACACCATTTTCAGAGAAAATTCTAAGTTCCTGTCCTCTCCAAATGCCATTCACCAACCTTAAATCCAGCCTAAAATACTCTTTTAGCTGAAAATCTCTACCATTTAAAGGCAACATTTACCAAGGCAGCAATGGTTTTAAAATACTTTCTAGCAAACCACTTACAGTGATGGCTTTTGGGGTTCTTGACAGGGTTTCACAATGTAGCCAGGCTGGCCTCAAACTTTCAATCCTGAGGATTACCCATGGCTGCTATCACACCCAGCATATAGTACTCCCAAATAAATAACTTCATGGAGTTGGAGCACTTCAACTAGCCTTCTCACATGTCTGGATGGGATTTCAAAGTGGACTAGTTATTTAATTTTATAAGTATCTTTTTTATGTGTATGTCTGAGTCCTTGAATGCATGTATGTGAACCATGGCACGCAGGAGCCCATGGAGCTCAGAAGAGATGTCAGATTCCCTGGAACTTGAGTTATAGGTGATCATGAACTACCTAACATGGGAACTAAACCTGAGTCCTCTGCAAGAGAAGTTAAGAAAACTTTCTAGGCCCTGGACAGGCAATTTTTAAAAAGTGAAACATAAAGAGCACTCAGTACACAGAGGACATGAAGAGGAACAAAACAGGAGAGGTAGTAAAAAAAGATGTCTGAAGTAATGTACATAAAGAGAAATACATACTGCTGTTTATGGAACAGTGTGTGATAAATAGCACTACATGATTCTGATGTTTTTATTAGGTCCATAAAAAGTAGCTTTCATTTATAAGATCAAAATCAGACAAAGGTATTTGGGAATTCAATTGGTACTGATAAATTGAATCCATACCAAAACTCACTGTGGACACATCCACATTACATTCAATGTCAATATTTATGTGACACTCGTGACAAAGTCAACACAAAATGAACACCCAACATTTCAGCTCTGTGAATGTCTATTGTTTCAAAACAAGGGCAACTTTTTTCAGTCAATTTCTATTTGTTGAAGAACACAGCAAGACTATTATAAGGTTACATGTTTGATTATTATTTTTCCACATTACTGAAATACAGCTAAAATTTTAGGGTTTGATCACCTACCATACTTCTGATTAACCACTGACCTTAAAATAGAGGATAATTATACACACACACACACACACACACACACACACACACACACACACACACTTCTTTTGTAGATTTATCTTTTCTGTAGTATGTGGATGAGTGTTTTGCCTACCCGTGACTGTACCACATGTGTATCTGGTGCTGGCAGAGGCCAAATGAGGGCACTGGATCCCCTAGCACTAGAGTTAGAGGGTTGTGAGCAGCCACGTAGGTGCTGGGAGGAGAACCTGGGTCCTCTGCAAGAGCAGTGTGTGCTTTTAACTGCTGAGTCATCTCTCCAGCCCATCTTTTGATATCTTAAAGTCTTTAAAACTTAATATAATTCTGATAACATATGTGCCTTGCTATTCATTCATTAAACATGATTTATTTTAATACAGGTCAGAAAGTTCAATTAATTAACCAGGTCTCTTTTCATTTCCTGCCAGCAAAGGTTGGCTCGGTTTTAAATCTGATTACATATCAAAAGCAGTAGTGAATAATTTATTTCTTAAGATTAACTCCACAAATTACTGGGTAGCTCTGAAACTACTCCACTGTTTACAAATGTAAGTCACTGAACAATCTATATGTACCACCAGTTCCCTATGTCAGAATTATCTTTAGACTCTAAAACTTCTGTGGGCTCCACATCAGAACTAGTGAGTGAGATCTGAGGATTCCGGTGTTTTCTCAAGTTCCCAAGTGAGAAGGACACGTGTCTTAATGTGGGAAACCTGACAGTGTTGAGTAGACTAGGGGTGTGTCTAACCTTTAAGACACACCAGAATTACCAGTGGACACTTCAAGCAAAACAAAGAACAGAGTCTCTTCCATAGGCTGAGGGAAGTGTCCAGGAACAGCATTTTAAACACCACCACCATCTGTCTAAAATCAGCATGAAAAACAACCTACAGCCTCTGTCAGATGTCAGATATTTTATTAAAACAGTATATTCCGTAATTTAATGACATTGTCCTGAAAGTCCTAGTGACTTCTGCTCTGGGAGTGACAGAAAGTGACGAAAGATAATAATAGCCTTTCAAATAGACGCATTTGTATTCTTAAAAGAAGGTCAGAGCAGTGACTTGTGGGACCACGATTCATTCATTAAAGAAGGAAAAGGCTCTTTCAAAGTAGTTGAGCCTTTAAACTGAGGAGTTCGTACATCAGTCATCTTTATGGCCTCTTTATCATTCACCCAGTATGTGACCAGCAGTAGTGACTCCAGCTTACTAAAGGTAGAACATGGAACATGAAAGATGCACATTCTACTCAGACACCTTTGTAGTTCTGGACCACTCACACATAGTAGGGTTAGAACCCAGCTGCATATGAAACACTAACATGGGAACACATACTAATAGTCTTGATTGCTAACAATGAAACTTCATTTGCCCTACGGAGTACATTCCCACATATAACATCAGGAATATAACTAAAGGTATTGTGCTGCCTCTTCTGTATATTAATTTACTGACATTCCACCAACCCTGTAATTACACATGACACAAGCAACATCAGATTTTGTTCTACTTCTAAAAACCCTGAGCCAGACATGGTGGCACATGCCTTTAATCCCAGCACTCAGAAATAAGAGGCAGGTAGATCTCTATGAGTCTGAGGCCAGTCTGGTCTAAATAATGAGTTCCAAGACAGCTAGGACTTTGTAGAGAACTCATCTGAGAAAAAAAGAAAAAGAACAGACACACTGTCCCAGCATAAGTGTGTGCAGAGCATCTGGTGGGTCCACCATCGCTGCACAGCTTTAGGAATGGATGGATTCCTACTTAGAACCCAAAATCTACAAAAGCACCAACACTGAAAATCAGAGAATGGCTGGAAGAATCTGTCTGGCATTCCCTCCCCTCACCCACATCTAAGATGCTGATATTTCCAGTATAAACACACTTCCTGTGTTCCTCACAAAGGCTTGGCGGCTTCCTTCCCAGATTTGTGATCAGACAATTGGAATTTCTCTTTAAGCAATGAAAAGCAATTGTCAAAACTCAATGTTGCAGTGCAAGACAGGCCTGTAATCGTGAGACAGACAGAAATGTTAGGATCAATTCTCAAGAAGCTCAAGCACTCATTTTGAACTAGTGTCCAAACTCTTGTAATAACAGAAGTGCTTTCCAGTTTACAAATGATAAAAATCATAAATTTTAAAATTAAGCAGAAGTTGAAAATATCAAAAACCAGGCTTCATGAATGAAGTGAAATGAAGTCACGGAGACACGACAAACCCTGGGAAGGATGTCAAACATGCCATGGCATAAGGCACCATCTGCACCCTCTCTGTGAACAGCACTAGGGACCCAGGGAGCATGGCAGGGCAGCAAACACCCACAGCTCGGCTCTCAAGTCCTTTTGGCTGGCTTGGCTGTCAGCTGCCTTTCTCTTTCAAATTCCTTTTCCCTCTGCTGTTCCCTTTCCAGCTCTTCTCTCTGTCTCTTCTGCTGGAGCTTAAGTGCTCGCTTCTGTAGAGAGATGGTGGGGAGGGAGTGTCAGGCATTGCAGTTATGACAGAACTTAAAAATAATGTTTCTCTTGAGTTAATCAATACATATTAATAAATTCCATGTTTAACTTTGATATGTATTTGGAGTAATTTAAGGACAACAAAAACTTTACTCAAGCTCACTAAATATAAACTGCAACTTCATATGCAGAGATGAGCCTACCAGCCCAGCTACCAGTGGAGGAGCCAAGAGATTTTATTTTTAAAGGGAAATAATGTAGCATGAGTTAGTATCTTACTGTATACAGAAGTACAAAAAGTCAAATCATGAATACTGATAAAGAACAAAACTCCACTTTTAAAAAGAGCATGCAAGGGTTCCACTCACTTTTAACTTGGATGTTTTCTCATGAAGCAGTAGCATCTCTTTCCTTATATTCACCAGCTTGGCATGATAGTGCTTCGCTTCCGTGAACTTGACAGTCAGATAAAAGAGAAAGAAATGCCAAGAATGATGATCATGTCAACATCTAAACTACGGTTCATCCTTCCTGAACTGATACATTTTAAAACCTCAATTTTGTCCATATTTTAAGTTCTATGATCCAGATTTCATTCAACCATTAGCAGGATTTTGAAAACATTTGATTCAATTGACAAAAAAAAAGTTACTAAAGATGGGCAGTATGGCACACTCCTTGATCTCAGCACTCAGGAGGCAGGGATCTTTAGATCTGTGTGAATCTGAGGCCAGCATCGTCAGTGCAGTAAGTTCCAAGCCACCCAGGGCTACACACACACACACACACACACACACACACACACTGCACATTTTCTCTCTCATACATAGATTATTAAACATAAAACAGACATTTATATTAAACAAATTATAAACAATATTTTGCTTCAAAAATATACCACATAATCCAGAAATTAAAACAGTCACTACTGCCTTTTTGAGAGAACAGGACAGTTAGTGATGTGCCTTCCCGTAGGAAAATATCAGTCAGAGCACAGGACAGTTAGTGATGTGCCTTCCCGTAGGAAAATATCAGTCAGAGCACAGATTCTGAGAGAATAGCCAACAAGCACAGTCATGTATCTTGGGCTTTTGAAGCCAGAATGACAACACAGCCACTACGGACACATATTGCTTCCCCAGAGATAATGTGCAACTCCGTATTGCAACCTGCAGTCCAAACAGCCCTGTTGGGAGAAGCTGAAGGGTGATGGAGGTCCAGACAGGTGGGAGAGAATGGAAAGGGAACCTTTTCCTCAGAGACAGAGAAAAAAGGGATAAGAAATGGGCCTGCAGAGAGAGGGGCTGCCTCCCACATAACTATCAGTAAAGTCAGCTCAGAGCCTCTATGTCTGTAAGCTTTTAAAGTAGTCCAGTTCCCAATTCCTACATGAGAATTAAAACCACTCTTGGACAGACAGAAGAAGTAAGTGAAAAACTCAGTTCTGTCCTTCCAGGTTGATGCAACAGAATTTGCTTCATTTATTATTATTATTACTCAACTTTCACTCATTCAATAAATACCCATCCAATCACAATGTCAACACTGAGGAAAAAACAAGTGAGTGTGTACGGCCATGCTACCTCCTCCACGAGAAGTCAGTCAGCTACTGAGAGGACTACTCTCTCTGTGGCAAGCCTGTCAGGGCTGGAGAACACTGGTGGCTACGTAAGGAAATGGTCTAAGCCACATTTGTCATACAAAGTCTACTTGTGAGTGTAAAGGAACCCTTACAATGTCACGCTAATGTTCAGAAAGGGAAAGGAGCAACCAACCCTTTTCTTAACGAGGATATGTCCACTAACGGTGAATCCAACTATCCAACCACTCATCCTCAACATGTCCATCTCACCACGGCATTAGAAATACTAGTAATTAAATGTTAATTAAGACTCCAAAGAACTGACCCTGCAAAAGAAACTGCACTTTCCTTAGTCATAAATACAGTGTCTCAAATGTCCCTTACTTTCCATTGTCTTTTTATGTCATCATTTCTTGAGATCTTCTCCACAACACAAATGCACTGAATTTCCTAATACATATTCAGCATGTGAAAGACAGAAACCATGGGAATTCTAACAAAGCAACCACGATTTCCCTATGAAAAAGACAAATTCTACACATAAAAGTTAAGAGGATAAGATCGTCAAAATGCAGAGGTACAAAGCCTTTCTGAAACAAGGTCTTATTAAGTTCCCTAGGCAAAATTGTACTTACTAAAGCATTGATGTCCAGCATGGAGTGGCATTCTTTAAATTTTGAAATCTCTTGTTCCAGTGTATCTAGTAACACGACTTGGTTCTGTCTGAAACAGAAGCACACAGCCAGAGCAAACTTTACATTTCCTAAGTATGGGTTCACTAGAAGGAATCGAATCACATTCATTCCCACTAATGAGCAAAGCTGGAAACCCAGCTGGCATACACCGCCTTACTTTCCCAATATCAGATTTCAAAGACATATTCTGACAACTAAGTGATTGCTTTACACTTGTCACAATTTCAAATCTTCATAACAAAAATAGCCAGATTATTGAAAAGTATTTTACTGTTTTAACAACATTCTGCATTATCCCCCAAAGCATTCTCTTTCACAGCATTTTGCTCACAAAACTCCATTTTCTCTGCATCCTAAAAATTGGAGCCTCCCCCAAAAGTAAATGAGAAACAAAGGGTTTCCTGATTTGGCTTTGGAAAAGATGCAATGAAGGATAGCCCTGTACATGAGCTGCTGGGTGGAATCAGCACAGGACTAAGAAGCATACACGGCCTTTTCCTCACAGCTGTGTGGCCTAGGAAAGTCACGTTACTGCTCTTGACTTAATTCTCACTTATACAGAGAGAAGGTCAGACCAGACAACTCCAAGGGTTCCTTAACATTTGGATTCAAATCCTATGAGGAAGGGAGGGAGGCTAACTTACTTCCTACTCCTCTCCTGATCAAATACGATCACAGGGTTTAGTGACACAGAAGGGTCACCTAAATGAACGTTCTAAAGGAAAATATAACGTGATTTGTTGCAAAATAAAGAGCAGTGATAATAGGTGAATTAGCAATGAGACCGAAGGTCAATCACATGTTCACCATCAGACCTGGGTACCAATAGGTCACTAATCTGTCCCTTCACGTCAGAGGAGGGATCACAGGAGAGAAAGTACAGAATGCAGAACAGGACAGCAAAAGACAGGAGGTCACAACTGAAAAACAACAACAACAGAGGGTGAGGGGTGCTGGTGTTAAATAATGAAAACCAAAGCTTTGAGATCAATAAATGCCTTCAGCCAGTGCAAACAAGAAAAAAAAAAGGACACAAATTGTAAGTATCTTCATGGAAGAGATGATCATCACTGCTGTTATGGTATTAAAAGGACAATAAACTCCAACAAGTCTGAAGATACATTAGATCACTTTAGATCTAATTCATTCAAAGACACCAGTTATCCAGGCTTGCACAAGGACCACTCATTCTCAATTTTCCTATGAAGAAACTAGACTCTCTACGAGTATTCATTTCACTTTTGGCGTTTAGATTATGAGCTACTCCGTGAATCTCATTTACAAAATACAGAAATGCTCAACGATCAATGTTGTAAACGACAACACTGTCACCCTATATGTTACTACCAAATGGCATCTGACTACGCAGAAGGAGCTGACGCGTAGCTGGCTTCTACTGGCTTACGTGAGCTCCTGCAGGGCTTGCTTCGACCTTTGCAGGTCTGGTAAGTAGTGGGACAGCAGGCCTCCCACCAGTTGCTCCACAGCTTTGTCCTCCGCAGTGAATTCCTCCACGAGTCCTTCATCTGGAGAAGCATCCCTCAAACCTGTGCTCAAGAGAAAAGCAAACTTAGGAGCTCTAAGGCTGCTGCACTGTGAGGAGGCTGGGGGGGCTCAGCCAGGGAGAAGGGAGGACGCCCACAAGAGGCGCACCTCTCCTAACTACAGCAGTCGTTCCTTTCAAATGCGCACCTTCTGAGCTTGCACTAAAACATGGCCCCAAAAATGTTTTTATGTTGTTTTAAGTTTTTCTTGTTTTGAAACAAGGCTTCCCTGTGTAGCCCATGCTGGCCTAGAACTCTCAATCCCCCTGCCTCAGCCTTCTGAACTGTGTATCACCAAACCTGGAAAAAAAGTAATATTAAGTTGCAAGTATAGAACAAAGGCTATATTCATTAGCGTATTCAAATTTTACATGTTTGCATAAAATTCACGCTATGTTTACTAAGGAGTAAGACTGAAGGATGAGTAATAGTTATTGAATTGCTGAATTCGTGAATTAATACATTAATGCTCTGAAAAGCATGCAGAAATTACATAGATGCTGGTGAGGCAGCTCAGTGAGTCAAAGTGCTTGCTATACAAGCCACACCACCTGATATCCATCCCTGAAACCCAGAGCAGGAGAGAAGCCTCCTGACAACTGTTCTCTTGACTCTCACTGGGACACAGTAAGGACTCTCTCCTCTCTGACTCTCTCTCTCTCTTCTCTCTGACTCTCTCTCTCTCTCTCTCTCTCTCTCTCTCTCTCTCTCTCTCTCTCTGACTGTCCCTCTCTCTCCCTCTCTCTCTCTCTCTCACACACACACACACACACATACACACACACACACAAACAATAATAAGGAAAATAAAAACAGGGAGGACTAGAGAGATGGCTCAACCATTAAAGTCTAGGCTTACAACCTAATAGAAAATAAAAATTGTTAAAAAATTATATAAACAAAATGTAATATTTAAAAACCAAACACAATAGAAAGAAAAATGCAGGCCATTTATTTTGTTTAATATTACATATAAAGGAGGCTGTTGTGTCATGTACTAATTAAGACTCAGCACTTTGTGTGAACCAGGACCAAAGCTAGGAAAGTCAGCTGGGAAATGGAGGACCCACAAGTTCAGTGATGTGTGCTGACTCAATTCAAGAAGAAAAAAAAAAAATCAGTGCCTTAATTTACTATAGGAAATAATGTATTCTAATTGTGTCATGGGCTAATCTAGACCTGATGCCAGGAATGATGTCTCATCCTTGTCCAGGCATTCAAATGACTAAAATAAATACCCATCAATTACTATTTCCAGGAAGAAAGTACAGAGTCACTTCAAAGTGGAGTCAATGGATGTTTATAAGGTTTTTACAATCATTGATTTTGAATGAGAAAAGGGTAAAAGTTCACTTCACTGAAATTGTACCCCCAAAGCATTTCACAATTAACGTTAATCTCTGAAATATCTGTTATCAATTATAGTCTAGTAACATCAAATTAAGATGGGACTGGAGGGATGGTTCAGTGGTTAGGAGCACTGGATGCTCTTACAGAGAATCCAAGTTTTGTTCCCAACAACCACATGGCAGCTTACAACCATCTGAAATTCCTATTCCAAAGGATCTAATGTCATCTTCTGGATTCCGAAGTTACCAGGCAAGAACATAGTACATATGTATATATTAGGCAAAACACACAAATAAAATGAAATAAAATGAAAAGGAAGTCACTCTGCAGTTTTCTCACACAGACAGACATCTAGAAACTGTTTTACCCAGCCCACGCACATGGTCTTTTTTATCGTAAGTGAAACACACTATTCTGGAGGCCTTCTATTTTTTGTTTTAAGACGAAGTCTTGCCACACAACCCAGGTTGGCCTTGATCCTCCTGCTTCAGCTCCCCAAGTGTTAGCATGTGCCACCACACGTGGCACAATGTATAAGGATCTACTCAGCTCTTAGCAGAACCAAATTCTATATCTCCTGTAGCTACATTATTATTTTCACTTTTTGCTATTTCAAACAGTGAAAATGTTTGTGATCTTCTAGCTGCTATGAATCTACAGTGATATTCCTAGCTAATCTTTTCGCATTCCTGTTTCTATGGAATAAATTCTTAGGTAACAGTAGGGGAAATCTGTGCAATCTTCTACACTGCAAAAATCCCTCCTAAAAGATGGCACCAACTTTCACTACCACCACCATTTCCAAATGGACACAAATCTATGATATGAGTGTAAAGGATGAAACACTGTTGGGGAAACAGAAAGAGGAGCGGTGGGAACACAACGTGCCTGGAACACGGCATAGACAGAAAAGCAACAGTAAACTATTAACATATACCATGCAGCCGGCCTGTGAGGATCCGAGTGCCAATTTTATGGGTCTAAACTTAGTAAGTGGTAAGAAGCCATTTAAGGATTCTAAGCAGGGGAATGACATGACTGGAGCTTTCTTGGAGAAGTACTGTAATAATAGAACAGACAATGTTGAAAGAGTAAGAGACTAGAGGTGGACTAGCTTTAGAACGGTTGAGGTAGACTCCAGGGTGCAAACACAAAAGGGAGATAACTGTATTGTAGAATCCTCTAGACTAAACAGAGGGAAGGCAACAGAAGAGTTGAACGCAATTTCAAAGTTTCATGTGAGAGTAACCTCACACCATTAACAGAAGATCGGACATTTGAGGCTAGGGATCTAGCTCTGCAGCAGAGCACTTGCTTAGCACGAAGTCCTGAGACCAATCTGGAGCACCTATCCCCACCTCTTGCCCGCTCTCTGACATCTGCTTTTCTTTATGCGCATGCTACTCTGTGAGCTCTGTACAAAAGTATAAAAGTGGCTCCAGCTGCAAGTAGGTGATACAGGATATTTACAGACACAACTGAACCAGTCACGAAGAGGGCGCGCCATTAAGCACGGCCCGGAAATGCTGAAAGTGATTTGTAGCTTCCTATTTCTGGAACCAATAAATTATTTTTAGAAGGCCCGACAAACCTTTCTTATCTAAGATCCATCATATGAATCAAAGCGTTCACAACCTCACAAAGACGGTGGTGTTCCATGAACACTGCCCATCTGGCTGCATAATAAATTAACCCTTTCGTTCAAGGATGCCTACGGGCATTAATGTTTAAATCTCTCCCGGGAACTGTGGGGACCGCTGCTGGAGTAAGTAACGACGAGTGACGGGTAAAATAATGCCACCAAGTAAGTCGGAGTATTTCATGAGTAGCCAGTATTTGATAGGTCTCAGAAAATCGACCGTCTTTCTGACAAACTCATCCCCAACCACTGACCCTATGACAGTCAAAAGACAACACAAACGCAGATTTTCAGCACGGACCGCACGCAACTGTGCGTTTCCCTGCGGCACCCAGGTGGCGGCGCGTGGGGGCCCCAAGCAACAGGGCAGCCTGCGCTGGAGTCCCACCCACTCGGTCCCTGCCCAGGTGGGCAGTCGCTTCCCCCAAACAGCCGTACCCAGCGTGGGCTCGCCGGCCTCCAGGCTGTCGGAGGTCCCGGTCAGGACCCCGTCCGGGGGCGGTGGCACAGGAACACTCATGTCCCCGCTGCGAGTGCCGCGTAAGGTGAGTGGAGTGAAGGTAAGGAGGCAAACGCCAGCAGCAGGACCCTAACCGGTTCCGGCTCCCGGCCGGTCAAAAGCCGCAGGTGCACACGGAAGTGACGAAAGCGGAAGACATCGCCCGCTACAGCCAGTCAGGAAAGCCCGCCCTCAACCCCCACCCCCACCCCGTCAGAGCGGCGGGCGCAGTTGTGCGCGTGCGTGTTCAGTTTCTCAGAGGGTGGGCTATGGTAGCGGGAAGAACGGTCCCAGGACTCGATCCAGCCCTAACCGAGTGGATTTTTTTAACGAAAGCTTTAAGAACGTGAACCGCTAAATTATTCAGAACTGTGAGCTTAAGCGTGGATTTAGAATCTCTTCCAGTTGCTTGCAAATGATTTTGGCTTTGTTGGAGCATCATTTGGACAAATTAAGCCAAATTACCAAAAGCACCTGCTGAGATCCTGTGGGACGACATCAAAAGTTTTGTGTAGATGCGGACAGACAGCTCCTCAGCGAATGTAACGAATAATATTAATAATAATAATAACGTCACGCCTCGGGAATGCACTGGCTCCCAATTGCTGTCATCAGAATGTTCAAGCTGTTTCTTTTTAGCCACTTTACAATTCAAGCACCTCCTTACTCTCTTAAGGAAGGATGTCCACAGCTAATCCCCGAGACCTCTAAAGACATTAGGGTGCATGGCAACGAATAAAGGTTACTAGTTAACCCTACCTTAAAATAGGAAGGTTCCTCCATGGGTCCAAGGTAGCAGTCTTTAAAACGGAAAGAGGGGTGCGTCAAAAAAGGGATTTGACTATAAAGGGTGACTAAACAGATATAACACTGGTGGGTTTGAAGACAGAGGAAGGGAGTCTTCAGTCTGAATGGTGGGTGACCTCCAGAAAAAGGTAAGGAAACTGATTCCTCCCTATAGTAGCGGAACTCGACCCTGCGAATTACCTGGATTTTCATCTCCTGTGAGGCTACAGAAATATAGAACTTGAGTAATTGTAAGTCACCCAGACTTCTCTGTTTCTAGCCCTACCTGGCTCCACCCTTTAGAGAAAAAAAAAAAAAAAAGCCCAAGATCAGGGCACAAAATCCCTCCAGTCCCAGGCCAATCCCCGGAAGCCTACACCACAATCCCCATGAAACCCTGTGTAAAGCTTGCCTCTGTTCAGTTCCTTGCTGCCTCTCACCAAAGCAGAGGCAGCCACCCTCTTGCGTCTCTCCCAGTAAATCTCTTGTGTGAGGTTTGTTGGTGTGACTGTTAGCATTCAGACATACCTGCTCCTCAACCTAGAGACCTGGCAAGTGCCTCACCCCTGCAGCATGCCCAATATGCAGGCAGTCGCCACACCCTTAAAAAGGCAGAACCTCTTCTTCCTCTTCCTCTTCGCCCCTTCTCGTGCTTTCCTCACTGCCTCTCTCTGTGTCTCTGTCTCTCCTCTCTGTCTCTGTCTCTCCTCTCTGTCTCTCTGTGTCTCTATCTCTCTTCTCTTCTCTCTCTCTCTCTCTCTCTCTCTCTCTCTCTCTCTCTCTCTCTCTCTCTCTCTCTCTCTCTCTCTCTCTTTCTCTCCTCATCGCTACTCTGTGTTCCCTTTCTCTCTCCCCTCTCTTCCATTCCCCCAGTGAAACTTTCCACGTGAGCTCTGTCAGCATGGTGTATCTGTCTCTCACCTTCCTTGGGGCTTCTTGGCTCCCACCCACCAAGGTCCCTCTTTTGCCTGTTTACAACAGTGACTCTGTGGTGTTCCTGGGCTCCCAAAGGCCCGGATTCATTTCCATTGGGGAAACCGTCCCTCTCAGAGCTGTAACACAGTAATGATTAGTGTTGTCGTACTAATTGGAAAGCGCTGTGCCACTCTTCAATCATCTTATGCAATCTGGGTATTCTAGAATAGTCCTTCATGTGTGCAGTGTGCTTGCTCCTGCTCTGAACTGAAATATCATTTTCAAAGGCCTATTCATCTTTCAAAGTGCTTTAGAACAATATCTTTATTTTTATTGTTTTATTTTGTGAGATAATGTGTCATGCAGCCTAGGCTAGCCTTAGACTCAGTATGTAATTAAGGCTGGCCTTGAACTCTTGATCCTCCAGCCTCTCCCTGACAGGGAAGTGTTTTGATTGCTGACCACACTCAGAGATACCTTTACTTTAGAAGTTATTCATTACCTCACTTCCCCCTTTCATTCAGAAGTTACAGTGATAACATTTCATAACTACAAACATCCCCTTGCTATTTAGCTCTTGGTTCCTCCTTGCATTAGCCAAATAAAAACCCTTATTCACAGAGAACCAAAATAATCCCCAGTGGATTATTAGTGAACTATTGATGTCCTAGCCCCTAATTCCGAGTATGTATACTTTCCAAAATCTCAGCTGTGTGACATGGCAGCTGATAAAACACAAGCAACCTCGATTGGCTGTGAGCTTTATGTTCCAACAGTGTAGTAGGGCCCTTTGGGATAGAGGCATATCCTTCATCTCTTGCGAAATATTAGGTAGATATATTTCATGAATTTTTAAATACTGGTTTAAATTTAATGGGTGAAGTAAACTGCTGTCTTTATGATTTTTTTTTGCTCTAAGGAGAATTCTTGTTAGGAATTTCAGTATTGTTTTTCAACATTTTCAGTGTTGTAGCAAAAACCACCTAAACAAACAGTTTTACGGACTCATCTTGCTTTTCTCTCTGAACGTTTTCCTTCTATTTTCTCTTATGGATGGCAATTCAATGTTTTTTAAGATTTTTTAAAATTTATTTACATGGGTGCTCTATCTGTATGTATGCCTTTATGCCAGAAGAAAGCATCAGATTCCAGTGTAGAAGCTTGTGAGCTACCATGTGGTTGCTGGGAATTGAACTCAGGACCTCTGGAAGAGCAACCAGTGCTCTTTACCACTAAGCCATCACTTCAGCCCCACAACGTGCCACTGCCTTGTTAAGGACCCTCTGCATGTGACACAGAGCTCAGAAGCAAAATGCTGGAATTTAATTGCAAAGAACACAAAAGGTGAGTTGCAGTGAGTCGTTTTGAAGTGTCCTTAGTTTTTCCTTTTATAGACCAAAGGTATACACTCCAAATACCTTAATGTAGTATTTCTTAAGATTGAACTAGGTACCTTAGAGGATATACCGAAAATAGAACTCTGTTTCCTGTCCACCAGAAACATTGTTATGTACCAAATTCCATAGGTTACATTCAAGTTTGTTTTGGTGTTGCATGTCCTGTGAGTTTGCAAACTTTTGATTTTGAGTAAATGTTTATTAAGTATACAGGAAGCCAAAGTAAAAGAATAAATAGCAAGTGGATGGATGGATACATAGTAAAACAATCAAATTAATAGCTCAAAACATCCAGCAGAAATTGACTGTGGAAGCCCATTGTGGCAGCAATTTCTGAGAGCCCCAGGAATAGTGGAGTGCCCCTTAAGATAAAGTCTCCAAGTAAAGGAAAAAATCCAGCAGAAATCAACTGAGGAGGCTGAGGCAGTCAGCGGAAGTCCCTGTTGCACTTTCTTTCTGTGGATGAACTTCTCATGACTGAACTTCTGGTTTCTCTTTCACACTCATTTATATCATGGGATAAACAATAGTAACCTCTAATGAAAATGGCTTACCTTCTCAAGTTCTCAAGGACATGATGTCTTTATTCTATTTTGACATCCCTGTCACAGAGTTAGACAGGCCAGCCTATATATACCCAGACAAGGGGCCTTGGAGAATACATGTTTGGTTCTAGAATGTGGGGGAGGGAGTCATCCAAACATAATTTTCACTTCCAGTTTCTCAGTGGTCTCAGACAGCAAGTGACAGTTTATCAATATGATGATATTGTCATAATTCCCCTGCCTTCAATATTCTCAGGACTCTTCACTGTCCCCTACCCCCTGCTACTGATGCTCATCAAGAGTGAAGGTTAAGCTGAGATGTCAACCTGGTTGTATTCAGAAGCACCTAGATTACTCAAGCACACCTCTGGGTGTGCCTGTCAGAGTGTTTCCAGACAGGCTTCACTAAAAGAGTGAGAGCAGACCTTCCCTGAATGCGGGCAGCATCCTTCCATGGGCCAGGAACCAAGATGGACTGCGAGGAGCACTGGAAAAAGCTTGGCAGCAGGGTATTCTGTATCTGTTTTCTGGTTAACATTGCAAGGTGTGAACTTCTCTGCTCACCACACACTACCTGTCATGATGCCCCAAAACTCCTAAACTCATGATTGACCATGGTAGATCAAAGCCTCTGAAAATGTGAGCCAAAGTGAACCCTTCCTCTTTTACATGGCTTTTCTCGATTATTTTGCCACAGCCAGGAAGAACTAATGAACACTTAGTCTCCATAGTCTTGCCTTTTTAGAATGCCATATAGTTGGAATGATACAGTATATAGTCTTCTCAGACTAATTAGTTCCACATAGCATATGTATTTAGGTTTCCATTAAATCTTTTCACAACTTGGTAATTCATCCTTTAATACTGATTTAATTTGTAATTAATGAATGAGCATATATAATAAATATATGAAACTATATATAAATATATTATATAATATGATACATATAATGTAAAAATATATTTGCCCACTGAGGAGCACAGATCTTACCCCAATACCTCCCATAGAATGGACAGGCTGTAGGTCAAAGGTCATGTGGCTGGTTGGTGTCTCAATCCCTACACTGGAAGTCTTGCCTGGTCATAGTAGTTCAGGCTATGTATCCACTGTTGATAGAGGTGGAGTCTTAGCTGGAGTCCTCTTGTAGACTGATGGGAGTTTCCCTTGCACTGGGTTTCTATCTGACCCCGAAATGTGCCCTGGCCCCAGACAAGCATTTCACATAATAGCAGCAAAATAACAGTAAATAACCATCATTAATTATTAATATCTCTCAATATCAATGGATCAATTCCACAGTAAAAAGATACAGGCTAACAGAATGGATATGAAAACAGAATCAATCCTCCTTCTGCATACAGGAAACTTAGAGCTGAAATCAATAAAATAGAAACAGAACAATACAAAGAATCAATAAAACAGAGTTGGTTCTTTGAGAAAATAAGATAGACAAACCACTATCCAAACTAACTGAAAGGCAGAGGAAGAATATC